CTACACAACCCAATTTGTGCCAAACCTTCCCAACCCCACAACACAGTCAAAACCAATGGAGCAAAACAATAGCTACCCTGCCTCCAATACCGCTGCCAATTCCCACCAATGGAACAGTAGTCGTTTTGAACATGATAGAAACGTCAGTCAACGTCTAAAGTACAAACAAAACGGAGGAGAAATTGACCTTTTGACCCCTCCAAAGATTGACAAATGTCTACAAGTGAACTTCACAGTGCCTGCACATTCTGCATACCTGTCCCAATCAGGATGCGTTAATATTACTTGCAGTCATTGCAAATGTGTGATCGAATTACCCGAAGAGTTTATTGTAAATTTAGAACACGCCAGAAATGCAACTAAGATTACGAATCCGAAAGGTGGCAGCTTATCACGAGTCACTGAAAACCGACCAAACTTCACAACCGAAAGCAAGTTGAACGAATCAAATATCTCAAGAGTTTCAACTACCCATCAATTAAAAAACGCGACGTCTACAAAGCTCTATGACTCATATTCGGGAGAAAATGTAGTCGAACAATCAAACTCTAAACTGCCAGTGAAATCCGAGAAAACCTTAGACGAAGTGAAAGAAAAAAGTCAAAACGAATCAATTCCATCAAACAATACCTTAAATGACAGTGTCAACACCACAAAGAGCCAAAATTTAGACGTGTCTGAAGCCTCAAATAGCCAGGAAAAACAGCGGACTAAGTTGTATAAGGATTACTTGAAGCAAATTAAGGGTCGCGAATACAAAAGCATCCATGAAATCATGAAAGAAATTGATTCGAAAGTCAAGGAGGAACAACACAATATGTCAGTTTTGTCAACTAGAAGCAACAAATCAACAAAAACTGAGGACGCTCAAAATCAAACTGCACCAAAACCAGACCTGAATAAAAACCAAACCCAGGCTATTGATTCTGAAGTAAAGAAAGCTGACAACTTAAAATCTGGAAATGATCGCGGTGCCGGAAGTTTTAACGAACAAAAGGAAAATTTTGGCGAAAATAAGACCATTTCACATAGCAACTCATTGCAAAAACAATCTTTTGTGTTCACCCAGAGTCATGTATTGAACAATTTTCCAATTCCAAAAACTGTACCGAGCATGGAAAGTTGTGAGAACAAAGAAAACTCGGCACAAAAAAAGTCCAACACAGAAGCCCAGATGCAAAAATTGGAGCCAGAAAAATGGAATGCATCTGATTTCGTCAATGTTAACAAAGTTAAGAATTCGTCAGATATCACCTGTGCGCCAACTGTCAGTTCAGAAATCAATTTAACGCTGAAAAAATTAGATGAAGGCTATATCTATTCTAATGACGTGACGGCACCGCCCATTGAAGTAAATAAAAGTCAATTCCATCAAAGTGAAACCCAAATTCCAAGAATTACGCAAAACGGTTCCTATGTAGAAAATGCAGTGAACTTAGAAATCGATAATCAGAATCAAGAAAATTGGAATAAAAAATATCGGAATCAGGAAAAACGAAATCAGGAAAATGGAACACAAGGAAACCAAAATTTCAATCCAGATAATCAGAATCAAGGCTATAAAATTTATGAAAATTGTAATCAGGAAAATCGGAATCAGGAAAACCGGAATCAGGAAAATCGGAATCAGGAAAATCGGAATCAGGAAAACCGGAATCAGGAAAATCGGAATCAGGAAAATCGGAATCAGAAAAATCGGAATCAGGAAAATCGGAATCAGGAAAATCGGAATCAGGAAAATTGCAAACAGGAAAGTTCGATTGAGGACTCTGAAGCTACACAACCAATAGACTGCTTGAATGATGAAGAAATCACAAGACTGACCATCAACGGTTTCATAACTTCCACGCGCAGATTAGGAAACAACGACAATCAAAATGACGACACACTCGTGAAAACAAACGAATGCAATCCTCAAACTTCACAGAATGGAAATGTGTCAATTTTGGAATTGGAGAAGCTAGCCCCCCAAGAAGTGTACGTCTCCAGTTTCCGACTGAAGATGCAGCAAACTAATCGAAAACCACTTCCAGAAAACTCGCAACACATAAATGAATCTAACGATTGAGGCTCTCAACACCCATCAAGATAGTTAAAATACAAGTGTTACTAAACTCGGATAAAAGTATAAAAAAGTTAACTAATTTTCTGAAAGGTGCTCTGAACAAGAATCTGCTTAGCCGGAATAAGTGTCACAAACATAGTCAGTAACACTTAGTGATAAAGTTAATACTCCTGCCACAATACTTGTTTCCTAATAAAATTATAATTGTAATTTCAACTGCCAAACATTATTGTTTCCATCAAACTTAGTTTTAAAAGCCAAGCTAACAAAATGAAGACAAATTACACACAGAGGCGCAGCGGAGCTTTGCACTATTTGCAATTAAATACAAAGATAAAAAACATAAGAGACGGAAAAAATGAAAAACTAGGTCTACCAAAGGTTAAATGTTCTCATGTCTCGATAGATGTTCATTCTTGGCTAACATCCAAAAATCTGAAAAAAAAACAAAAAAAACTCTAGTACCCGATTGAAATACCTTTGCTCATAGTAAGGGTAACCATGCATTCGATAGTCTCAAGTTTGATCCACCCTTGGGAATTGAGGTCTACGCTTTTTATTGCCAAACGCTCTTTTTTGTGCCTAGAACGTTACGTGAAACCAATAGTGCAGCCGAAAGTGGTCAAAGCTGTGATAGATTTGAAGCTAGAGGTCGATTCAGTGATCGTCCTCACACCCTATGGCGAGGAAAATGTGCTCTAGCTGTTTTGGCTGCAATAGGGGCACTACGTGAAATGCTACACCCAAAAAAGGCTTGAGCGTCAAAAAGACCCTAACTCCCTCGGATATATTGTTGATCAAATTTGAGATTATCGATTGAATGAGGTAATTTGTTTTGAGTTTGTAAGCTTTGCTTTCAATAAAAGTTTGACTGAAACAACCCGAAAAAATTCTAGACGCAAAAAATGGCTTCGAGTCACAGGATAGCTTCACTCAACAAAAAAAAATTCAGTCCCAAATGAGGAGAAAATGGACTAGCTTAGACAGTCCTGATAACATTTTTAGATCCTCGGCGAATCCCAGAAGTCAAAAAATAATTGTATAAATATTGTTCCGAATCATTAGCATTATAGCAACCGAGTAATCAAATAACTTTTTTTCAAACTATTTTTATAACTAATTTATGAAAAATTGTTTATAAAAAACGGTACATATTTAAAAACTGAGCATTTTTCATTTTTTCTAAAATCAGTTTGAACAAAAATTTTAAAATCCCAGCTTTGAAAAAGAACCGCTTGAAAAGTTTATTAGAAAATTTAATTTGAATCGAAAAAAAAATCGGAAAACCAGCCGACAGAAATTAAGATGACGGAAGAACGACAAAATCAAAAGAAAACATTTATTAAAAAAATATGTTTGAAAAACTCTTTACTACCTCGCATGAACAAGAAAAAAGTTTTATTTGATTTCTAAAGAAATTGATCAAGCCAGCCTTCCATTATGTCAGATCAAGCAGTTCGGCAGTTCACAGGAAAAATACTAGTTCCCGATAAGAAGAAATTTGCACTCGCAAGTGAAATAAGAAACTATAGAGAAAAGCAAATTCAATGAGTAATCTTTGAAGAGTAAAAATAATAAACACAAATTTTTTTAAATATAATGATACCCAAGAAAATTTGTATCTTGACTAGTATTGAGATGTTTGTTTAACATAGTTATTTGAATTCATTATCACTAACGAGTATCGTTTGCTGCTATTTGTCATGCATTTCAGTTTACAAAGACCAATTTTACAAAAACAACATTTTTCCTTATCATTTCTCCTCATTATTTGAGAGCATTGAAAAAACTTCATGTCTCGCAAACTCAGAGGATTCGTACAAAAACTTCTAGAGGCTAGATTCGTGAATCCCTGGAAAAATCATGGGAGTGTCTCAGCATATGGTTGAGAGTTTCTCTTTTAAGTGAGACGAAAAACTTACGTAGAAATATTTTTTTTCCAAGTCAAAATTTCCTAGTGTACAATTGTTTCTGAGCTTATGTAGAAATACCTTTGGGATAGCTAACACGCCAAATATTTTAGCCTTTTGAAGCATAAAATTTTTAGGTGAATTAACTGTCGCCAAGCTGAAATTGGGCAAGCAATTTAGTGTTATCTTTATGTTACCAGACACAAAAAAAACTTTAATTTTTTCGCATAGCGTAAGAAAGTAAAGAAACCATTGGAATTTTTCATCGTTTTTGAAAAACATTATTAACATTCAAATTTTAGCGTTGATATTGGTAGACTTGCTCATGTTACTGCTTGATAGCTGCCTAATCCCAAACTGCTGAAAAACTTTCGGATGTTCTATGCCGTTTTTGTTTCGAATAAAAATTAAAAAAAAAACAGAAACCTAACCTAAACACTAAACATAAATCTACAACTTTAATATTTACTTGTAGACGAATCAAACAAAAGAAAAACGAGACAAATCTAATTAATCTGTCAAAAAGTCTCAAAAAAATTTTTACAATAAATTTAAAAAACAGAAGCGAAGCGACACAACACAAACCAAACAAAAAAAGAGAAATCGAAAAACGCAAAAACTATTGAGCACAACTAGAACTACCTAAACTTTCTCATATCTCAAAATAAGTTTGTTCAGACAAACATTCCAAACAAGACAGTTGGATAAAATTTACCAGCGGAACAAAACTTTCCTAGCGAAATTAAACCGACAATTTAAGAGCAGGCACAAGTTGAGCCAAAAAAAATCCGTTTTTAAAAAAAAACTGTTAAGAATTTTCAAACCGCTTTTGAAACTATAAAATACGAACATAAACAACGACAATGAATTTCGCTTATGGCACAAAAAAGACCGTTCAATGGAAACTAAGCCAACCAAACATAAGCAAAAAAGCGAAAGTTTGACGTTTTTAATATTTACCGGACAAAAATCAGTTTCATACATTCTTAAGAGCAAGGCCCGACCGGGCCTCGAACTCTAGACGGTAAGATGTTGACTGCTTTACCTCTAGGTCAAGTGGGATGGAACCTGGAAATTCGTAAGGCTCCAAAATTAAGCAAATTCATTTTTAGACAAGTTGTATACGGTAAAAATTCTAGTTCCCGACTACAGTACTTTTGCTCCCGCATGAGTAAAAAGAAAATTCAAACAGTCGAGAAACGCAACAACTTTAAATCTGCTATCTTTTACTGAGCGGCTGCTAATATGACAATAACTGGATAGGCGAATAACTGAAGATCGAACCAAAAATAATTAATTTTTTTTCAAAATGTTAAAACTCATGATCTACAAATATGTAAAAACAAAAATCAAAGTTTTAGAATAAATTTTGTAGCAAAGTAAGTGCGCTAATAAAAAACAGCAGCACTAATAAACAAAGTCAGAAGCGAAAGATTCGTTGACAATTTTGATATTCGCGAGGTTCATACGACGCCTTGCCTTTTCATGAGAACCCGCAAGATTTCTATGATGTCAGATATAGACTAAATGGGGGCCTTTCGATAGTTTTGATTTCGACACTCTTCTCAGCCAAGCATGTTTAATGAGCTGCAGGACTATGCAAAAACCTTTTTTAGTGAGCTGCTAAATATCTGAATGAGCTGCGGAACGATTCAAAAATCTATTACTCTGGAAAATACGCCTTTTGGTCATCACTGAGATAATTTTGGTGCTGAGAGAACTGGTTTTTTTTTCATCCAGTGATCTGACTGCTTTCTTCGTATCTCCCTTCTTCATGTTTCTGAGAAGCAGTTTTTTCTTTTTTTTTCTGTCGTTTTTGACTTCATTCGCATTTTGATAACCCGCCGTTTGTGATAACTTTCAAGTGAGCCATATAAACGCTGGAGAGAGATTGTATGTCTGTTCGCTCCCAGCTTTTTGCCAATTTTTCCGAAGACTAAACCTTGGCTTTGAATTTAAAAAAAAACAGTTTTGAATTTTGTTTCTACTTGTTACGTTTACTTTTTCTGCAAACAGTATGAAGAAAAACTGAAAATGTGCTACGAGTGTGACTAAAATAGAGGCAAAAACATCTAAATTTCCGTGGAACAACCTTTTAAGTGCCGCCTAAGTAATAGGAACCTTTTTCGGAAAGCAACATTGATTTTAAAAACTTTTATTTTGTATCATAAACTTCTTGAACGGTTAAGTCTTAAGCACTCCACCTCTCGGAAAAACTCAATTGATCAACTATTGATGTTTAGAATTTGCAAAATAAATTGAAAGTCAATAAACCTTGATTAGAAACATTTATTGGAAAAACAGCATTTACACACAGGTAAAGCTGCACTTCGCAAGCACTAGCTAGAAAACGAAAAAAAAATAGCTCTGTGAAGTGCAATGAGAAAAAGTTGAAATAAGCCTCGAATTATTAAAAGTTCGACGTCTCGGCTTCGATCTGTTGAAAGTTAAAACTGATAATTCAGCAATTTGCTCTAATACAAGCAGTCTTGTTTCGACTTTAGAACAATTTAAATGTTCATGAAGCTCAGAGATAGAGATATTAGTCCACTCTTAGCTTCTTTCTAAATTAATTTGAGCTAAGCTTCTACTAACAACTGTTTACTAAACTGTTTATTAACAACAAGGCATGCAGGTTGAGCAATATAAAAAACATTTTCATTTCATAGAAAAAAATTTCATTAAAAAATTTTTTTCGGCAGCAAAACCAAAATGGTTCTTGTAAAAAAACACTGACCCCGCTCACACTCAATCTCAGCCGTGAGTAAGCCTGTTGAACTGTAAAAGCCGGTTGAAAAACCCTATGATGCAAATGTGCAGCTGACTTTGAACAATGAAAAAATTTAAAAAGGAGCTAAAATTTTTTGAATTAAATCATTAAAATTATATAACTGAGGTCCTTGAGAAGTTGATTTTGAGCATTCAGAAATGTGGAGCCAAAGGCTTACTGATCGTAAAAAAAGCAGACATTTTTTGGTAACAAAAATTAGGTAGAAACGCGGACAGAAATAAAACTGACAGCCAATTAGCAGAAAATAATGTATGTAGAGATTGCGAGGTGGTATAGCCAATTCGGAAGCTAAACCGGCAAAATTTAAGCGACAAACACAAAGCAGAAAATTGTGTACAACAGCTAGCAGACAGCAAAAGAGACGGAAACCATAATATCGAAAAAAATTTGTGTAAACATGAGTGACAAAAAAACTGAACTTTGAGAAAATTGAATCTGTGTAATTTTCTATCCCGCTGGTAATTCTTAAAATTGAATCCAATCTCAAAGCTAGAAAAAATCAAGTCTTTTGCAACACTTTTACTTTGTTAGAAAATAGCGAAAGTTAGAAAATAGAAAAGTCTTACATAACCGTATTCACTACTTTCATAACTTAAAAATTCCAAGCTATAAAAAGAGATCAAATTGTTACGTGTCCCGAAGCACAAGAGTTCTTCTGAACACATTTTCGCCTTTAAACGACCTTTTGTGAAGCAACTAATAAAATTTTTTAACCTGCTCAATTCTTCTAAAACTATTTTTACTGTGGAAACCTGCTTCGAAATTTAATAAGTGAGCAAGTGCTGTGAAAAATTTGTTGGCACTGATATTGGTGTGCTGTTACTGATATGGCACTTACAAATCAGGCTTCGCACTGATACTGGGGCCACCCCGTAAGTCCACTTCGTTTTAAACCACTTAGAAACCTATTAACACTTTTTCATTAATTCTGAAGGCGGAATAGCAGTTTGAAATGAATTTGGAAAGCTATCTTCCAATCCTTGGTTCAAGATTTTTTTTGCATATACTCGTATATCCATTTAGTAACCTCGCAAGCAATTAATTTGCTGGCAAACACTACAAAACTCGGGTTTTACAACAGATCAATTCAGCTTTCAACAATAGTAACGAAATTATCAAACCGAATTTATCATGATCCAAAAAATAACTCTGAGCCAACTGTACTGCATTTTTACACCCGTAAAGCACGCCATAAATCAATCAAAGTAGTACTGAAGCTTCTACGCTTTCATAACATGTAAAGTATAAAGAAAAAATCGCCTGAATGAAAACATGAAAATCAAGCAAAAGCGTAACATCAAAAATCACTACAATAAATGAGTTTTCCTCAGTCTTTTCTTGCATGAATTGATCTTTCTGGCGTTTTTAAGATACACTTGTAAAAGTCGTTCAGAAGTTGGAAAACGATAATCACGAGCTATCAGAAGATCAGCAGTAGACGTGATAACTACAAGAGTTATGAGGTGGTTTCGGCAGCAGCGGGGGTCGCGTCGCCAGTGGCTTCTTCCGCAGCGGGCTTCGGAGTCTCTTCCGTTTTGGGTGCTCCTCCGGATGTGGCGTCCTCGAGGTCTGGCATGTCGTCTTCATCGTCGGAGTCCGGCTCCTCGTCATCATCCATACCCATGCCCATCCCGTCCATTCCCATTCCTCCCATTCCACCCATTCCATCCCCCATGCCTGCCATCATGCTCGACATCTAATCACAACACAACAAGTTCGTAAACAACAATTCATCTGAGACAATTCGTAGAAAAAACATGCAAATCCTAATTTCTAACAAAACATGGCAATATTTTAGTCTCCCTCGACACTGCGAGGTCCAACAATCATTTTGAAACTAAGAACTCCTAACTTTGTTGGATTGTACTTAGCGAACTCCATACTTGCGTTTGTTTAAAGAAAGCTCGAAAAAGGTGTAGAAAATAGCGGAAAAAATATTCTGGTATATATCAGTTATGGTAACAGTTATAAATAAAAAGCTTACGTCGTTGTCAAAATTGAAGTCGTCTCCGTATTCGTCATCGCTTTCGTCCTTCCATCGCCCAAAGTCCACTTTGATGGTGCTGTCCTGTAATTTAGAGAGAAAGAAAATTCTACTAGCTCTATTGTTTTAGTGGCAGAAAAAGGTTTTCATCAAAATGAGCATTTATAGAAAGAGAAGACTCGACGTTCGTTTAACGGAACCGATTACCTAATTTCGGTCAAGTCAGCAATTTATAACTACATTGCGACAGAGGCGCAGCAGCGCTTCATAAACAAGCATAAAAACGGCCAATTAGCACTAAAGACAGACAAATAAAAGAAAATTAAAAAATCTCGGTGAATTGGCAGAACACGGTTGACTCAAAACAAAACTGCTCCTATCAAGGCTTTCACATATTTTTCCAATTTTATTGAAAAACCTTCCCTCACACGCTATGCAGGAACAACCTGAGATATTTCGCCTCTAGAAACGAATTAATCAGACTAAACAGCTTGCCTGAACTCAATTTCGCATGGTTTCTGGGGCGATCAAATTGCCGCACACGTGTTAAAAGCACAAAATATATCGCACGGTAATTGCCCTATATTAGCCAAATTGGCTGTTTTCAAAGAGCTCTAACTAAACTTCGGTTTTTGCACTTTTATTGTTGGAGAGCGTAATATTTTTTCTTTCGATTAGTAAATCAATTTAAATTATGAAATCAAAAGCCAAAGAAAAAAACGAGCGTGAACAAATCTGAAACTTAAAAGGACGTGTCAAATAGCTGGAAATTCACGAGTAAATAGTCAGCACATATCATCGTCAGCACAAGCAAAAACATCACTGACCTTCACAAAAACTTCATAAGACGGTAAGTATAAGGCCCATAAACTTCAGTAGATCGTCAAATACAGTCGACAGAAAGTTGGTTAAGTGTCAATGAGCATAAGAAAGCTGACAGAGGAAGACTTTTCTGAAACTTTCGAATATCGAAGAAAAAAAAATTTCACGTAACATCTCTTCAATCTTCAAACATACACCTAGCCTAATTAGAGAAATTGGATCTAAGTTGATTTTTATATTCCGCTAGGAAATTTTTTTCTAATGTAGTGAAATCTAAAGGAAAAAGATTTCCTAGCGGAATATAAAACTCAACATAGATCCAGTTTCACTAATTCAACATTATATTGCAGTGAAATCTCAAGTTCTTCATACTGCATTCCTGGTAGATCAACTACCAATGCCGCTTTTCTTATTTAGAAAATTAAGGAAAATTTTGACAGAAAACAAAAACCTTGCATCATATATTTGTTGATCTCGAAAAAGCTATCGACCGTTCCCAGGAAACTGATCTAATGGGCTCTGAGACAACAAAAAGTTCCCAAAAATCTGGTACGACTGATAATGTGATTGTACACCGAGTCGAAAACCAGAGTTCGCCGGCCACCAGGGATACAGTGATTACTTCGAAATTAAAGTAGGCGTGCATCAAGGATCGGCACTTAGACCGTTGTTATTTATAATGGGATATGCTATATGCAGATGACCTAGTGATATCAGCTGAAACGGAATCCAGTGTACTGATAAGTTTAATAATCAGAATAAGGCTTTATAAAAACGAGGTATATAAGCTAACTTGGATAAGACAAAGCAATTGGTTTCAGGCCAAAACTGCATTCTGGAAAAATCACGAAACTTCCATGCGCTTGTTGTTTGAAGGGAGTCGGTGTCAATTTAATACGCTGAAATTATTAAAATCGAGGGTTGCATAAAAATGTAGTGGTCTGAGGGAAAGACCTCAACATAAATTAAATTGGTTTCTCCAATAACATCCAATAATCCTTCCAATTGTCGCTCAAGTCAGAATGTAGCTCTATGGATCAATCGATCTGAAACTATGGAAACTGTCAAAAAATTCTTCTATCTTGGTGACATGACTTCCGGTGAAAGCAACGCAATACTTGCGTTATCGATCAGAATAGCAGCTTTCTGGACGAAATGGCGGCAACTTTCGCCTCTGCTGCTGAACAAAAAAATTGACATAACAAGGTGTCATATCTACGGAGCTTGTCTCCAGCTAAGTCTGACATACTCCTCCAAAACTTGGCCGCAGAACATATCGATATCCAGCTCTCTTATGAGTGCTGATATGAAGCTCTGCAGAGGATTACAGGAAACTTTTATAAAGACAGAGTTACCAAACGAAGCAGTAATTAAAATGACAAGTCTTCTTGATCCGGACAAGCTACAAGTGCGGTCACTGTTACGATAAGTTTGCCACGTTCACCGAACGGAGAATAACCATGCGCTAAAATCAACAGACCGTATTTCATTCCCAGTTAAAGACCAGCAGGAATACCTAAAAACGCTGGATTGATTCTGTTCAAGGAGACCTGAAAACTATTAGCCTCAAACCAACAGCATAACTTAATCAATGGTTTGGAAAAACGTGTCAATTCCAATAAAAAGCTTGAATTCTATTCAGAATGCCCTCATCTGAATAGTGCAATTTGTTATCTAGTTATATTATTGCGTACGCAATTTCCGAATGTTCAATCCCGCCACAATCGGAAATGGACAATAAACGCAGAAGTATTAGTAGTGTAGCGAAATCTGAAATTAAAACTTAATGTCAAAACAAAAATTCGCAAACATTTTTAGTGTTATTTGCAACTTTGTCATAAGAGAGTGGAATTCTCTCATAAAGAAATAGATATGAAAAAAAACTGAATCAAACTGCCTAAAGTCAGTTTTCAGCGTCATCAAACAGATAACAAAACGACTGATAATGTGTTTGTACATTGAGTCGGAAGCCAGAGTTCGCCGAACCCAGCGATGCAGTGATGACCGCAAAGTTAGAGTAGCCGTGCATCAAGAATCGGCATTAAGCCCTTTGTTATTTATACTGGGGTATGCTATAAGCAGATGACCTTGTGATATCAGCTGAAACGGAAAACCAGTCAACTGATATAATTAATACTTATATCATCATATTGGTTATAAAAACGAGGTATGTATAATTTGGATAAGACATAGCAATCGGTTTCAGGCCAAAACTGCAATCCTGGAAAAATCACGAAACTTCAATGCGCTTGTTCTTTGAAGGGAGTCGGTGCCAATTTAATAACTGCCGGATACTATATCACTATAAGATGCTCTTCTTGTGGGAAATGGGTTCATGGCCCTTGTGTTGGACTTTCTATCGATGATGTGCGTTGGCTAGGGACAAAAGCAAATCTCCAGTGGCTATGTGACAACTGTCTGCAGAGAGGAGATAAGTCAACAATTTGCACCGAAGCTAAGTTGGATGCTTTATTTAATGACTTGAGCGATAAAATAAATACTACGGTTACAAATCTTGTCCCTAAACTTATCAGTGAAGTTATCCCTGGCGTGAATGAAAATGTCAAAGAAGCGGTCACTAAATCTTTACCTTCTTATAGTGATATAGTATCCGGCAGTAAGAAATCGTTACCTAATACTGAACTGCAGTTTGTTATTACTGGTATTCCTGATAACGAAAGCTCTTATTTTAAGCAAATTGAAAACGACTCAACAGAAATTGATGGAATAATGCAACATATGGGATTGCATCCAGAGAATAATATCACTGCGATTCGACGCCTTGGAAAGATTACTAAATCTTCTCCAAATGAATTAGCTTCTGATAGACCAAGATGTCGACCCCTCCTTGTTACAACTTCTAATGACCGATTCTTAAATAACTGCTTTGCTCGTAGTCACTACCTTCAGAATTACATTAACCGAGTGTATATTAAAAAGTTCCTTTCACATTCGGATCGTCAAACTGAGAAAAATCTTCTGGCCAAACGATATCAAATGATTACTTCCGAGGCGAAAAACAAGAAAGATTTTCGAATCAAAAATCTTAAACTTTACTATAAAGGCGCGCCAGTTGACATATCCTCAAATTGACTAGAATCTACGAATTGCTTACTGTTAAATTGTCAATCTATATGTCCACTCGATAAGAGATACGAATTAATTAGTCTCTGTAATACTAATTTGATTTCTTTGGTGTTTCTTACAGAAACTTGGCTTAATCCCGACATTGATGATTCTGAAATTTTTCTTGGCTCTTCTTATATCACTATATGTAGAACAGATCGAGAACGAAGACAGCACGGTGGTCTACTTATTGCACAATCGGCCAACGACCCTCTCAAAGCTATGAATACTACCATTCCGTCATTTGAATTTGCCGTTTCATGTGTTGTATTAAGCGAACTACCCTCCTTCTTTGTTCTCATCTATAACCCTCCCATGTCTTCTATTTATTCTGTTAATATTCAACTCCTCCTAAATTGCATTGAGTCCTACTTGTTGAAGATTGAAGAAATTTTACAGCAATACGGATACGGAAATACCTATAATTTTTACCTTCTCGGGGACTTTAATTTTCCTTCTATTGATTGGAATACTTACTCCTCTTCTTCTACAAATGAACGCTCTTTTCTTGAAATCATTATCGAAAATGGTTTTCTGCAGTTTGTTACTGAAGCGACACATAAGAACAAAAATATCCTAGATCTCGTTATTTCTAATGAAATAAACTTACCTGTATCAGTTGGCAATCAAATTTTCTCCGACCACTACCCCATTTTCTTTAATTTTAATTCTGTCCATCCGACTTGTGAGCTGCAAAGTTCCTATTCCAAATCTTCTTTTAACATCCAAACTTTCAATACTTATCTTCAATCTATGTACAATTTGGTATCTCTTAATTCTTGCACAATAGAGTCCTATGCTGATAAGTGGTATAGTCTTCTCAATAGCTCGTTCAAGTCTGCCATTAAATTAAAACGTTCCAAAAGGAAGGTGTTGCCGATATTTTATTCTTCGCATACTGTTCATTTAATTAATCAGAAAGAAACAACACTTCGCAAATTAAAAAAAGAAAATTCTTATTTGCAGGCAATTAAATTGAAAGATATCACTAGATATCTTTCTGAATCAATTGAATTGGACAAAGAGGTCTTTATTAATCAGTTCAATCTTTCTTCTACGAGCGAATGTTTTAAGCTCCTCAAAACTCTCGGTTATAATTCTGCCCTTCCATCCATCATGTATCACGGCAATATTTCCTTGACAACTGAACTCGAAAAAGCTACTGGATTCAACAAGTTCTTCGCATC